AAGAATATTAACGTGAGGTGATCGATCAATGAACAAGGCTGTGTCTGCAATGTTTCGGAAAGAAAAAAAGAAAAGAAAAGAAAAGAAAATGATCAATGTTTCCGAGGCGCAATTGACTTGCACGAATTGGGAACTGGCGTTATTTGCGGATCGTAGTGGCAAGGTTGAGTTCTCAAGGAGAATGCATTAAGTAACGCGTTCGTTGCGAGACGTTGGACGAGGGGACGAATCAGAAGAATCGTCGGTTAGGCAAATAAGCCTGGAATCGAAGCCACGCGTTCGAATACTAATAAACACTTTTGCCTCGGACCGCCGACTCGTGCCAATGTTGCGTCGCGCAAACATGGATCGGCACGAACGTGATGAATGATTCTTGGGAAAGAGAAGAGATCGCGAATCGATGATACATAGGTGTTATTGCTTCGGTCGATAACGACGACACAAGGAGAGTTATAGATCGTTAAATCGTCAAGGATGACTGTGGCGGTAGTGAGATAGCCGGTTGCGCGACCAATTATCAATCGGAAAATAAATTTGTTGTTTTTTCTTTTCTTTTTACCGAGAGAGAAAAGAATTCGACTCTCGCCAATCGGAAGATCTTCCAAGTCATTTGTTATTCTGATTTCTTTTTCCTTTTTTTTTTCTTTTTTTTTTTTTTTTCTTCATTTTATGTACATATTCGTCACTTCGTGTACATGTAATGTAATTCGAATTTCTATTCAACGAGACTGAATAAACGAATCCGAAGGTCTTCGAATTAACGAGATCGTTTCTTTCGTCCGTTAAAGACAATACGAATCGAATATCGAGTCTCCAAGTTATTCGAATCGTTTCTCGAAGTTCAATAGCAAACAAACGCTCGGCCGGATTAGCCGTTGCATGACCTTTCGAATCAGCAAATGAATTCGCTAGCGACAACAATGATAATAATAATTAAACGAAAGTAGCCTAAGAAAGTCTTACAGTATAAATTACTTATAGACCTAGAGATAATGTCGCATCTTTCTTATCATGTAAGCCATCGTTACGATGACCGCGGGACATTTGGAGGGAGTCCCATTTTGGCAAACGGGGCACTGAGAACAAAACAAAAAAAAAAAAAAAAAAAAAAAAA